ACCCTAACTATTCTACGATTCTATGAAAAGAGAGAATCTGACTGTTAACCAGAAAGCTGAGAATCTGAGGGGAATATTTCTATTAGGTATCTGTAAACAAATGCTTGGGTGACAAATTAGCTGTTATAAACCAATTTTGCATCCCTTTCTGTATCTGACTCATACCAGGTATCTGACAAATGCAGAATCTTTGCCAAAAATGAAAAGCCACCAGCAAGTGCCTTTGCTGAGCCGTCTGCAGGGCGTACTGTTTTCAATTTCGTTGACTTTTACAGGGTGTGGGGCAAAAGTATGTAACAAAATCCCCATTTCCCATAATGGGAAAACACTTTTTTTTTTAACAACCAATGAAATAGCTCAAGGAACAGTCATCCTGGTCATGCTGGGATACCGAATCTGTATTCTGAACACATAGCACTAATTTTATGTTTATAATTATAAAGTTGGACAACCACCAACTGCTGAGCACAAACAAGTTACAGATATTTCATTTTCATTTCATGTCCCACTGCTGAGCCGTCTGTTGTATTGTATGTACTGTATATTATTTGCTTTTCTCCAGCTAAATTAAGAGAAGAACAGAGTGAACTAGTCCCAGTGAACAATGTTAAATTTAGACCTTTTTCCTCCTGTCTCAAGCTGTCTGCAAACACATTACCACTTCTTCAATTTTTGCCTTTTTACAAATCATATTGTATGGGCTTAATTCAGCCCAAGATTGGTTTATGAACAGTTGCTCAAAGGCATTATTTCCAGTATGCAACAGCAATTCAAGCTTCAAATTTTTTTGTTTAGACTCTGAACACAAAAATATTTCTGTTGCATCTCTGATTCAACTTTCTTGTGTGCCTACATGCAATTGGGAATTTTATACTGTGGGGTTTTTTGCTACATTAGCTTAATATATATTCTAGAGCACTTCATGAAGTTATTAACAGAGTGTCATGAAAAAGATATTCTCTTCAAACTACACAACAGAGTTAAATTCAATATATCTTGACACCTGAAGGTTCACCACTTTCCTCCCTGGTGTTTTGCTAGATGCCGTTGACAGTAAAATGATTTTTCAAGAACCATCCATCAATTAGTGAATATAAACTCTTTTTTTCTCTGCCTTTTTATTCACCTATTGAAAGAAGTGCTGAACAACAACAAAATTATTTGATCCACTTCCAATCAGTGAAGTTCAGGCAATTCACTTTATTAAATGTTCAGTTGATTTCTTTTTCCCTGAGACTAAATAATCTTTTCAGTGGCTTTTCTGTTTTGTTTTGTATCTTTTCTTTCTCATCGTGTACTGGGAAAAGCAAGCTTTCAGACCTATTATTTCTCTTTTGAGAACATGATAGTTGATAAAAGTGACAAGAAGCCCAAAATGTTGCACTGATATTGTATTTAAAGAGGAAAAAAATAGCTGTTGTTGAAACAGACGACATTATGAAAGCATGCAGAAAAAAGTATTTCCTGCATTCTTTATGGGCTTGCAACAAAGAAAGAAGTTTAAGTTGGAAAGTTTTAAATTTATGACTGGATTCAGGAATTGCTCTTATGTGCCTTTGGTGCATTCAAATACAAAGTTTAGAAGGAGGTTTTGCAAGAAAAAGGATTATGTTTTCATTAAGAGAAGTGCAGGGTTACATGAATGAGTATTCTTACCTTTTTAGTATTTTACATTCCCTTGTAAAAGGGAACTAAAAGCAAAATGAAAGGCATAATTTGATCCATATCATGTAGTCAGAGCCTTATTTTTCCTCTCTATTCCAACAGCCCTTTTATTTTTGCCACCATATTGACATTTACAGTGAAAATGCTGCAAAAAACCCCTAAAGTATTGACTTACATGAAAAACAACTATGTAAAAAATGCATCTTTTTTTACTGAGAATACATGTGTACATTTGTACAGCTGAATTTTTCTAACAAAAATACTATAGCAGGATGAATGTCACTGAAAGAAATCTGGAATGTACTTTCCACCGCAAATCAGCACCAAATGGGCTTACCAAATTTCTTGTGATTTTGTGTCTTCAAAGGCTCTGAAGGTCACAAGACTGCACAAGTGCCACTAAGGCATTACTGTGCTTGGAAAGGACTGTGTGCCTCAGAGGCTACTTGCAAGAATGAGTCTGCTATTACACTTTCACTGCAAAATGAATTTGCAGAATTATCAATTAAGAAAGACATAGCTTTCTTGGAAATTAAGCATGTGGCATGGCTTTGAAATGAAACTCTTCAAGCAACCTCCATTGCAACAGAAATGATAGCGGCACAAAGCTGTCGATGCAGCTTTGCCTTACTGCACCACAAATGCACACTGAAGGTCTCTCACAGAGCTAATTCTTGTTTCAAGTGGCTGTATTTTAAATCATGGTATTAGAACAGCTGTGAAAAATGAAAATCCAGATGAAAATGAAAACTATCAAATTTCCACATACCACTCCATTAACCGAAAGCAGCTGGTCCCCCCGTTTCAGCCCTCCATGCCTTTCTGCCACTCCACCAGGAATGATGCGAGAAATGTAAATAGGTGAATTTTGTTCCTTTCCTCCCATGACATTAAAGCCCAGGCCTTCATCAGTCTTTGGCAGCTCAACCACTCGAGGGTGTGAATGGCCTTCACTTGCAGCAAAAGCAGCAACTGTTGCCTGGAAGAAAAAAACAAGTGATTTGACTTGTAGGGAGAACATTGCTGATAATTCTGTTGTTCATTTGCAGGAAGAATTAATTCCTGTGAAAACATTTCAGTATCTCACTCTGGCTTTTTCTGATTCTCTGAAAGCATTTTAAAAATTTTAAGTTCCATGCCAATGCTTTTGAAATAAAGGAGTAAGCAGAGGAGTAGAGTTTAGGTGACTTGTCCAAGATAACACAGCAAGTTAGCAACAGAGCCACAAGTAGGCACCGGGAAGCCTGACTGTGTGATGGTGAACATTTATGATCACTAGTGCAGTTCTTATTTGTCTTTTCACAGGGAGAAAATTTATTACTGTGAGATAACACAGTATGATCTCTACTGTGTTCCTAGTTGAAACAAAGTGCATGAACTGAATTGTTAACTCTCTCGTCTGCTTTCAGAGGTACGGAATTACTTATGTTATTCTTTGGGCACAGAAAAAAAATCTAAAAGGATATTCATATCGTGAAAAATTTAATTTATAATCTTTATGAAATCTTGCAAACTAAGTAATTCCTGAAACAGGAATACGGGTTTTTATAATATAAGTGCATCAAAATGTGTATTGAAAAATCAAATCTTAAGACAATGGATTTACAAATCAATTAGAAAAATCCTAGATTGCTAATCTTACTCTAGCAAAAAAAAAAAAAGAGCAACAAACTGTAAAGCTTGAATCCAAAAAAATACTACATCTTACACTTCATTTTTCACTACAAGTATTTTCCTACTTATAGATCTTAGTAAACCATTAAATAAACAATAAGAAAATCTTTTATCTTTTTCAACATGTGTTTGTAATCCAAACTGCTCCAACAGTTCTGCATTACACTGATGTTTTTTGAGCATCCTAATAATGGTTATGCTTAATAGAAGCTAGTGGATGATGTGACATAATGGATCATTGTCAGTTACATGTTTTTTGCACATGCAGACCTTGTCATCATGCATACATTTTATGTCAGACATGAATGCACTAGGAGAATGCAATGCAGACAGCCCAGAAATAACCAGGAAATATTGCGATATTGAAACACTGCTCTGAAAACCTGCTGTTCTATATGAATAAGAAATGAGAATGGCAAACACTAATTGGATTTCTCTGTGTTGTTTACTATACAACATAGCAAAAATTTCTGTTTACCTGCAGTGTAGAAAAAACAGGATTTCACATACACATTTCTCTATATAGAACCATAAACCTTACAAATTTACATTCACCATTAGCTTTCAATTAGAAGAAGGTTAAAATCTGAAGAACAGCCTACAGAAAAGAATATTCTATTTAGTAAGGAAAAATACACTACAATTTAGTGTATGTTAGGTTATCTGCTGGCTATTGTACAGCTTGCTTCTCTAAAGCACTGTAGAAACAACCTTGTAACACACTCCCAACCTCCATCTTCTGATACAGCTTTAAATTAAAATCTCTTAACATAAATACGTAATGGTAAAATCTTAGTTCCATTAGGATTTCAGGGAGTTTTGTTACTAACTTCACAGGAGTGGGCCCATAAAAAATACGTCTAAAACAGATTCATAGCTTTTGTGGGTTTACCAGTGTTGCACAGATCTGCTATAACACCCTATTAGATGGTGTTGAGTACAACATGATGATGGGAAAACCAAAAACATGGTGGATCTCCCTGTTTGGAAGCATTTCTCTTTGTGCATGTTATGGAAATAGCCTATTTCATACTGGTGCATAGAATGGGTTCTTTCATGGTTGTGTGAATTCCCTTAGAAAATTATCATTTTAGTAGTAGCAGCAATGTCATGGTCTAAGGATATGAGAAAGGAGAGTCCACATGGACAAAGAGCCAACATATTTTATTAAAACAGGTAATGCATCAGAAAAAATGGGCTTGCTTTTGGCTGTGGAGTCTCTCGATCAGGCTATTTTTGTCAGTGTTCACCCTTACCACTTGCTCAACACCTACAGTTCCCATTAGTTAAAAGTGGGATTTTGACTGTTTAGTTTCTATCTCCCAAATCATTGTGTCCCCTCTGGATGAGCTGTATGGGAAAATAGTCCATTAAAATATTGGTTGTTGCAGGCAGGCTTCTGCAGAATGACCCAGTAGATTTGCTTTTGCAAAGCAACTTTCCAAAAAGCATCAAATTTCATAAAATCATTCTCTTTTCTTAAGCTACAGAAGCAGCATAAAGGTTGAAATTTGCCATTATGATTGTTACCTGGGAAGTAGCACTGGTTCTAGACTCTGGGCTGCCACTGATGTCTAAATTTTCTTACAGTGTACACACGAATACCTGAAACACACACGCGCACAGTCAATTACTAGGTCACTTTGGTAACACGTATTTCAACAGTTGCACGTATCCTACCTTTGCAGTGGCCCTGGCTCGGAATTCGGGGCAGCCATTTACAGTTATGGTTTCATGCATGTATTGATACACCTAAAATGTTCATGAAAATAAAATGAAATTAATTATAGAAGCAAAACAAGGACTTATATTAATCCAAACAGGATTCTTTCAGTTCCTTTCCCTCATAAGACTGTTCCATTAATGTTGTATTAATGCAATTGCATAGTCAAGTGTCTGATAAACTTGTGCATGCTTAGGTTTGCAGTGAACATCAATCTGTGTTTCTCATGACACTTTGCAAACTTAACTGTACATCTTCCAACATGATTCCCTTCCCACTTCTAGCAAGTAATTTCCCCAAACCAGGACAGCTAGGATCTGTATTATCAAATCTTAGCGTCTCAAGACAACTGATTTGAATACAAATGATCTGAACTGATTTGAGCGGTATCTTCATCTCCAACAATGGCTTCTTTGTTCTTTGAACTTTCCTATGAATTAAAGTTTCAGGAGACTGATGTTAAAAAAAAAAGAAGTAGGTTGCTCAGCATACAGATGCTGAAGAATGAGAGTGAAAATTAAATTTTGGAGAAAGGTCAGTACTGGTTTCCATCAACCACAGTTAGGATTGGCAAAAAGGGCTGGAAGCCTAGTAGGTCAGACATGGACAATGGGTAAGATTATCCTTTAGAAAGGAATGGTATATTCACATAAACAGCATAAAATCAACACTGCCAATATATTTAACTTTATCTACTGGGTTTGGTTTTTTTTCCTTGTATACACTCGGCCCACTTTCTCTGGTCCTTAACTCTCCCTTTTAAACATCTTCAGTAAGGAGAAAGGAAAAGGCTCTCTCACACTTTGTTCTCTAGATTTATCACACTTTTAACTGAAAAAATAAAAAAAGGCAAAAAAGGAAAGGAGATAACAAATGCAACCCATTTTAGAGATTTGAAATACGCTAAACACTTGCAAACTACAGTGAAATGATGGTCTGACTATTGGCAGCACATAAGTCATTCTAGGACTTAATTCAGAAAAACTTGGGCCATTAAGAAAACTAGAACAAATGGAGCATGCTGAAAAGTTTCCTGCTTTCTCCATTTGAAATTAAATCTTGCTTCCCTTGGTAAAATTGACATTGATGTCAGTAGAGTCAAGATTTTGCCCTTAATTTTAAAAATATGGACAAAGAAAGCTCTTTTATAGCCTCTAAAGCATCTTGTTTGTTCTGTCTTTGTACTGGATGATGCCATCATAAAAACGGGTTGAGACTACATACTCAGCAATATCCTGAACAGATCATTTCAACGTTTACTGCATTACGTCGTAGGACATACTCTTTTGTAAGAACAACTACTACATTATATAAGAATATCGTGTAATTGCAGTAATGACTCACTGAACACTTGTTACTTCAAAACCCATAATGTATTGAAGCATTGCTAATGTACTGAATTTTCTTGATATCTGCAGGTTCCTCTTCATCTTAAAGCATAAGAGCAGATTGTACATATTGTTTTTGCCTGCACAGCTAGAAATGCTGTGGTTTGCTATCATGTCTAAAAGCATATATTTAATTATTGATCTATTATGACATTAATTTGCTTTGAAAACAGGTCACAATATGTCAGATATAGGAATAAGTACTAAAAAGTTCTTTAAAATATTGATTACTAAAGTGGAGTGTCACGAAGATGAGCTGATAATGACACATTCATGTGATTATTTGCTAGGTTTGACGTCATACAATTCCATATTGTCTGCATCCTACCAGTATCTAGCTGGTAGGCTTCACTGATATCCAATATCCTGATAACTAATTTGCATACTGATGAAAGAACAAACTCACTAGTGCATGATTAAACTAATATGTTAAAAAAGAATAAACTGACTCAAAAACTTCTGAAAAATATGATCAATAATGTCATACAATCCTTGGGTTCATTTGTAAATTCTCAACGCTAACAGATTTAAAATGGTGTTCTGCAAAGAGTTATCAGTGATCTTAACATCTATAGCTCAGTTCTCAGGAAAAGAAATCTTGCATGCCAAATCTCATTCTCCATAAGCAACAGAAGTTACCAGACGAGTATCTGCTCGAGGCAGTTGTAAATCTAATTCTATTTGAATATTACATAGTGTTTAATGTAATTTGAGTTTAAGGATAAAACATACATCTGCATAACTTACTATTAAGCCAGTTTAGCAACCAAACACAGATTAACTGTACCTGTTCCACCAAGCCCCTTAAACTCTTTGAAGGGTTCAGATCTAATCATTGCTCATTCTAGCAATGCACAAAAAGCCCACTGAACTCCATAAATAATCCTTGTTTGCCTGTAAGCCACACTAACCCCTTTATCTAAGTTGTCCTCAGCACCACCTTAGCCATGATTTGTGCACAATGAATCCATTCTGCTGCCTCTTCTGTGTACACTGAACAGATAAACTGAAAATCTCTTTGTTCTCAAACTAAATACGGTGGCATTTAAATCTTTCCAGAGTGGAATATAGCTTCTTGTTCAATCCACTGCACGTGACAAGTCATTGAAATGGTTTTATAAAATCTTTGCTTTCAGTGCCTCCTGTCGTCTGTACATCTGGTTACAGACAACTAACATATAGTGGTTCTCCTGGATCTAACAATGTTATTTTTCAGATGTCCTTATAAGCACTTCTGTAGATTTCTTTATTTGGACTAAATATCACTCAGTACAAAAGAAGACAAAGATGCAGAATTTAATTATAAGTATTTGAAATATCCTTTAGAATATTTACTGAAGAAATCTTTTGAAACAGTGATCTTTGTTGACTATGACAGATGAATCATTTCAAAAGACATCACTGTGTAATATGAATGAGTTGAAAAGACAATTAACATATCACAGGATCACAGGCTGGTTGCCATTGGAAGGGACCTCTGGACATCGTCTTGTCCAACATCCCTGATCAAGCAGGGCCACCTAGAGCCAGCTGGTGATGTTATCTAGATGGTTACTTATGTTACTAGTTTGAAAAGGAGCTGCATATCTATTTTTGTATGTACAGCTATTTCTTTTTAGAGTGTCTAAAAGACTTCATGGGTGTTTAGTAGTAGTATTCGCTGACAGACTCTATACACAGTGTGATGGTCTAGTGCCTAGGGAAAAGAATTTCCATAATTCACTAATTATGGAGATTAAATTACAGGTGAAAAGTCAATGTTTCAAGACACAAAGCTGCAGCTGGAAGGTAAATGGTAATGTTTCAGGTAATTTCAATGATTTCTACCAAGATTGTTGGTGTCTGTTCACTGAATGTTCATTGAGTAAAAGCATGCTACCAACAGGTTTGTTCACACAGCTCTCATTTGCACTGTGGAGTTAGATGGATTCAGCTTTGTTTCCTCCTTCCTGTGGTGCAGAGAATAAAATCCTCCCATCAAGAAACACTCCTGAAAGCAGGAATACAGATCTCAGACTTTTTCAGCTTCGGCAGGTAGTCTTCTCAGACACTGTAATCTGAAGTTATTCTCCCAAAGTACTCAAAAACTACGGAAAGAG